CGAGTTCTAAACATTCTGCATTTTACAGTCAGGATCATCAAACTCCATTCATAGTGATGGTTAAAACTATAAAACTAAAGTTTAAACCGTCAGTTCACTTTGGTTTCTGCCATACAGTCTTTATAATATATGTAATTCGTACATTTCATCATTGTTACATGTGCGACATATTAATATATTACTAAATTTATGAATATTAACCAGTAATTAACATCTAAGTAATATTTGAGAAAAATTACCCGGATCCGACGCTTCCACACCAAAATAGTAAGTTTGTTGAGTCTCGTAGTCGACGTTTTTCTTGAGACAGACGCGCCCGGTGTCATTCTCGACGTAAAATGACGATGAGCCTGTGGTTGAAGAAGAAACTGAATAGCGAACGTCTGAATTGTATCCGCAGTCCGGATCTTCCGCTTGTATCTTAAACAGCAACGTTTAATTTCAGATTAATCTGACGTAATTAAAACGTCTAACATAAAGTACAATGCGAATAATAATGAAAAACGGACTTCTTATTAAGCAATGATGACTTAGGAAGGGACAGAGAAAATCGGCTATGATTTGTGTTTAAAACGAGCTGAAGTCGAATGGCAACATATAATCGAAATAGAAGCAATACCTATTGATAGTGCTTACATTCTGGTCACTCATATTTATAGCTGCGATTCGATGTTGCTATTCGTAGTGCTTTGTGTATTGTATCGACGAAGATGATATCGCTGCTGTCAACGTCATCCAGGGTATGAGGGTCAAGAACACAGTACCAAGATTAATGAGAACTGTCGCTTTGGCTTTTCAGAATGATTAAGGCGATGTTGGCTTTTCCGGCAAAGGTCATGAACTTCGTCGCCAGCAATTCCGCCTCTAACAGCTACTTTAGGGAGTGATGCTTGCCTCAGACGTGCCTGCGGCCATTTTCCGCTTCCCAGAGGAGGGAGTTTGGACAAATTTTTGATAAGTCTCCATTCTCTCTCCGGATGATTCTATCAAGCCATGAAGACGCCATTCCCTGATTTATTCAAGCAGCATTCCCAGGCCGGTCGTCTCCATGGTCTTTCGTTCTTCATTCGATGGAACTATCGTACTTTCCGAATGTTCCGCAGACAGTGCGGATGAAAAGTGTACGGCTTTCAGTATGGGGATCTTAGCTGCCTTCCGGACAGATCGGTTTGGCAAACTTTAAAAAGTCACTCGAACTTCACAGATGTGACGATAAAAGCTGCTCTACTTCGATGTAGCAGCTTCCATCCCTTGCCAGTACAGAGCAGAGGTACTTGAAATTTTCGATCTTTGATGATATCGGCATTTTACAGGAGTCCATCTCTTGGCTTATTAACTATCATCAACGGTTAGGCTTTGTCACCCACCGGGCAAACTCTTTTGCCTTGTGCTAATTAAATAACTTTATGCTGTTCTTCGTATGATTACCAGCTTATGAACATCAAATTGTACTATAGAAGCCCCCATTTTTTCCAATCGTTGGGCACCAGCTTCAGAACGCTTTTTCAATGACCACGCAACATCGTTCTTCATGCGAGTTAACAAGGATGCATGCAAACAGCCCGCACGGAAATTCCTTCAAAACCAGCACTTGATCGTCATAAAATTCAAGGGTTAACAGGGCATATAAACTTTCCTAAAATAAATCCTGAAGTTTCGGATCAAGCTGGATCCGAAGGATGCATTTCAAGGGGCAGTATATAACAATAAGCACAACAGATAACCCTTCAAGAGATAGTCCATTCCTAAGAGATAAGTATATCTGCAATCCATAATAAATAAATAAAACAGATATCGTGGTTTTCAATTGTACTTGTTGTCATGTAATCCCTCTAAAGATGGATTGAGCTCGATGCGAAACTTCGGCATTTATTAAATGCATAAACAGAGAAAATCTTTTGCAAACAATGACGAGTAAGATTTCCACCCGCATACCTAATTCAGTCAACCTGCTTAAAAAAGGTATGCTGCCGTTTTCCTCTCATTCAAATAGCTAATCGATGTGCCATTTAATCCTATGACTGAATCCGCTACTCATTTAGAATACACAACTGAAGTAACCGAAAATTCGAGAGAGTCTCATTCGTTCCTAGAAGGCACCAATGTCTGTTTTATTTTCTAATAAAATTACCACACATCTTTTTTGTAATCAAATTGCCTTGTGACCGACGAGATTAAAAAATGGTTTTGTAGTGACTACTGATTGGGCAAAACTGAACGTGAATACAATCATGAAGTTTCTAACTGCCATCCAAATCATTATATTAATCAATGAAATCTCCCCTGTAAAAAAGATGTGAGTAATCACATGTCGTAAATATGCAATTTCCATTTGGCTACCTAGCAACAAAGCCAAACAGCGAATTAATTGACAACATCACACAGAGCGTTGGGCCTTCAGAACTGGTGGAGATGTCGTTAAAGACGCTGCCGCTGCTGTACCTCAATATGGGTGGCGAGATGTGCTACATTTTGGATCAACGATTGAAAGCTCAGAACGTGAAGCCTGAACGGTCTCGCCGAGTGATGAACGATATCATATCGACTCTATTCAACTCGAATTTCCTGCGAAAACTGTTCGAGCCACAAGAAATGCACAGCTGCAACGGGCTGCGATTGCTGTTCGATCGAGTGGCTCATTCGAGCATCATGCGCCTCAGCCCAAGCAGCACCGACAAGCTGTTCGACTTAATGACCATGATGGTCAAATATCAGATCCAGTGCTCGGCCAGTCCGTATTACACGTTGCTGGTGACCATGAATCATCTGGACGGCATGCGCCGGCTGGTGCAGAATTCGCCGAAGATCCAGATGCAGATAGACAACGCGTACGACCTGTTAACCATCAACTATTTCAGCATGAACTTCTCGGAATTGATGCTTCTGAGACAAACCATGCTGAACTTCTTCCAAGAGTTCCGCGTGAAAATTAGCGTCCTTCTGAAGGAAGGACAACAACGTCAAGATGGCAGATTTGTCATACCCCTGAACACCGAAATTCCCTATGGCGTTTCGAAACCTGGCATCATCAAGTATTTTGGGAAAGCCAAGCAGACGAAACGGTCTTCGTTCGAAGCTGGTGCAACGTACCTTGAGCGACGAAGCGAAGGCAACATCGAACGGATCGTGAAAAACGGAGACAGAGGAACGGAACTCGGCAAGAATGTCTATAGTCAGGACGAGAGTGGTCATGGTACCGACGTCTTCTCTTTCCAAAGAATGAGAAAGCGCGAAAGTTTAGCCAAGGAAGAACTAACGCTGCTGGAGTACCTTGTCGATTCAGGTGACCGTTTTGTACTTCAGCAACTTTCTAGCCTTGAAGCCACCAAAACAAACATGTACTGTCACTGATGTACACTTCATCAATGCTACCAACACTGGAAACATGCCTGAGCTTCTGCTGATCATAAATGAACTAGACTGACAGGATGATCACTCCCTCCCCGATTCAGTGGGCAAAAGTACAAATTTCGATCAATTAGACAGACGCGACCAGCTGCTGAAATGGTACAAAATAATATTTTGAACGAAACGATTAGACTTTTGAATTCCTGCATCCTGAAAAGGATAAGTCAGAAATTTAGCACGAAGGATTATTTAATTATTGCTGACGTAAAGTACTACTTCGACTTTTTCAGGATACAAGCCTCAGGTTCGGTTGATCCGCTGTTCACTCAGGTTCGGTTGATTAAATTAAGTACATATCGATACAGTTTTGGCGAAACTGCAGTGTGATGGATGTTTCGTTTTCAAGACTGCTTTTACGGTGTCAGTAAATGGCCATCTGTTACAAAGTTTTCAAGACAAATCGGTCTGGAAAGAAATGCAGAAAAAAGAACTGGGAAGAGGATAAACCTTATCGATCATCCAACAAAAAATGCTGTAAAGCAAACGACCAATCATTCCGACTAATTTTTCCGTCATTTATGTTTCCCTGCTTGAAGAACGGCTTACGAAGCTT